CCCTTCCTTGCCCGCTGCTTCCCTCAGTAGTGTACTTCGTCAGTCTGCCTGTTCTGCTCCCTGCTCTGGCTCTGGTGAGTTCTTTCACCCTCCTGTGCTTCTGACTGTACCACTGCTTGTATAAATAAATAAATAAACCTTTAAAAAAATAAAATAAGTTTATACTTTTATTCCACTTAATAAACAATATCTATTAAGTTGATATTTTGGAAAGCTAAACAATTGAGTTGATTTACCTGATTATATATTCTTGAGGCTATAACTTAATCCAACTGTGGTAATATATTTTTTGAAGAACATGGAAAGTATGTTTAAAATCATCAAAAATATTTGTAAAATACTAGTGTCGATGAAATACTATTAGGAACACTCTGGGTACCAAAAAAACAAAAAGTCTTCTGAAGGACCAGATTCTCAACTTTATTCACAAAATTCAGAGCAAAGCAGAATGGTCTGCTTCCTCTTCTAAAAGTATTATAGAAGGAAGAGTGCTTTTAAGAATGTGCATTAATGTACTCTGTTATGAGAAAGAGGATGTCATTTTCAACCCAAAGGATTTGGGCCCAAGTGAGTGAAAATCCCTTGATTTGCTGGGGGAGAAAATAGTGAAAATAGTTTCATTTCAATGGCTGTCATCCAAAAAATAAGCAACAAGAGCTGAAAATGATGAGAAGAGAATAGACCCCTTTACACTGATGGTAAAAATATAAAATAGTGCATGTATTATATTATTGAAAGCAGTATGATCTTCAAAAAATTAAAAATACAGACAGCAGGCCTCTGCAGAAATAGGTGCAGTCTATTAAGGAGATGTGGTATAGATACACAATGGAACACTACTCTGCTATAAAAATGAGGAACTCTTGCCATTTACAATAACAGGAATGTTAAGTGGAGGGGATTACACTGAGTGTGAAGGAGAAACACAAACACCAGATTTTTCACTCATTTGTGTAATATAGTGGCGGGTTAAGGAACTGACAAAACTAAAACAAACAAACCCTAGAACTATGACTGCAGAACTGAGGCTACTAGAGTACCAGGAAGGTGGAGGTGAGATTAGAGGAAAGAGGGGCCCTAAGATCCAAGCTAAAGTGTTAGGGGTGCTTTAAGGGTGGGGTGGGTAGTGACACACATCTGAGGGGTATGAGCCTATTCCTTTAAGTCATAAGCAGTGTTGCAAATCAAAATTATATCAATAAAGAAAAAAAAAATAAAAAATAGAAATTCCATGTGATCCAGGTATCCCATTTCTGGGTATACATGCAAAAAAATACAAATATACAGTAGATATATGTGCCATCACCTTTATTCCAATATTATTACAATAGCAACAGCCAAGAGCAAGAAACAATCTAAGAACCCAGGGACAGATGATTGGCTAAAATGATGTGGTGTATATACACTATGGAATGGAATATTTCATCATGGTTGAACACCTGCCATTGTCACAACATGGGTGGCCCTGAGAATATTATGATGAGTAAAAAAGTCACAAAAAGACTAACACAGTAGGATTTTATTCACATGTGGCAAATAGAGAAACCAGACAAAAGGATGAACTAAATAATACAAAAACAAAGTTCTGTACAAATCAGTGGTTTCCAGAAGGGCAGAGGAAGAGCAGTGGGTAAATCAGGTACAATGTGTCAATCGTATGAGAAGGATAGAATCGCAGCTTTAGTGGTGAACTTAATGCAGAACACACACAAGTTGATTTTTAATAATGCACACTTGAACTTAAAATGCAAGATTATTTCCAACTGAGAAATGGACTTAAGTGTTAAAAAAAAAAGATGTACAAAGGCATTATACCAATAACTATATATCATGGATGAGAGAATTTTTAAAACCTTAAATAAATATAAAAATTTCCCTGACCATAGGCTGGAAGGCACAATCTTTTTTTTTCCTGCTTTATCTATAGAGTGAATGTAATTCCAGCGACAATTTCAGCAGATTTGTTTTGGAAGCCTAGACAATCTGGAAATACAGAATTGGAAAACTTAGATTCCGTGCTATAATAAAGTACTGCAAATCCACAGTAATTAATATTTCAATATTATAAATGCAAACATATATAACAATTGAACAAATTAGAAACACCTTTATCATCATTTGACAACACAAAAGTGAAATTCATCAGCAAACAATATTTCTCAATTAATGGCACAAAATTTTTTGAGGAAATTACTTCTCAGTGATACTGAATCAGCTGAATATCACTTTGAAGAAAATGAACCACAACTTCCACCTTACAACTTATGCAAAAATAATTTCAAGTGGATTGTTGAATGCAAAGGATAAAACAATAAAATTTTAATGTAAATATTTACATTTTTCTTTATTTCTAGTTTCATTAGGTATTATACTTGTGAATATACTTTAACTGTGTTAACTAATTTTTGTTTCCCAAACCTAATGATTTATTTTAAATTAATTATGGAAAAAAGATAAAAATTATTATTATTTTTTAATATTGCTTGCTACCCACACCCTCAAAGCAAGGGAAAACAGATCAACTGATATTTGGAAACTTTTAATAGGTCAATATTAGACTCCCCCTTTCTCTCATATATAATTTGATCTCTTTCTCAATGTTGTATCACTTCACTCCATTGTTCATTTGGTGGAAACTCTATGTTTGAACACCTACTTTCAGTTCACAATTCTATCTTTCCTTATTTTATTTGCTGCTTTATCTATCCATTGATTTATAAATTCTGATCACTACAAATTATATATATAGAGAGAGATGTGTGTACTCTTATTTTCAAATATGTCCATTCTTTCTGATAACATATGATTTTTAAAATATTTTAATTATGCTTTAAGTCCTTTTAATATATAGAAACATATTTCACAAACACAGATAATGTGTCAAAGTTCCTCCCATGTTACTGGAAATTATATAATTGCATCATAAGAGTCAAAGAAACAGTATAAGGCTATTATTGCAGAGTGACCTCAGTGTATAGTTCCTGAGGACTCATGGCTGGAGACCATAGTGGACTCTGTATGGACAATAGGTGCTGAGGGTCAGGGGATATCATCATTCTTAGACATGATGTTGGTGGAGGAAAAGAATAGAAAAATTGGAAAGGAGTCAGCACAAGTCCTGAAACCTGGCTCATGCAATGCCAGGAGTAGAGGTGGGGATAGAAGTGATTAACATAGTCATTAAACCAGCTCTAGAAATTAAAAATCACTAGGCCCAACCTCTAGATCATGAGGCACTGACCCAAGCAGGTGTCAGACTGCTGTAGAGAGTGTCATTGGCCATAGACTGAAGGTGAGGATATAAAGATTGAGGGCCATTGTAGAATCTTTGGTCCTTTTCACATTCTATACACTTGGTTATTCAAAATCAAAAAAAAAAAAAAGATTGATTGTTGGAGTGAGCCCCTCCCAAAGAGAAGATGACTGTATCAGTGCACCCTCTATACTGATATGAGGCAACAGTCCTCTGCTCACCTGTGACTATGCAGGACTCCTTGCTGCCAACTCTTTCCCTTTGCAGGGCAGTAGCCCTCCAGCCAGCCCATGACCTGTGAACTTGCCAGGGCTTCTCTGTACTCACTTCCCTCAACAGGGGCACCTCCCTCCCAAGGCCACCCGCCTATGACCATGCAGAACTCTCTTTTCACAAACCTGTCCTTTTTGGGGCAACTTTTTTCTGCCCTCTTGTGTCTGTGCAAGCATCCTTTACCCTTCCCTCTCTTTTATATATACCTTTTTATATACACCTACTGTCTCTGTCTCATGGAGACACTGGCCTAAGAAACTTGCCAGTGTGGCTGAAAGAAGAGATCTGGTGAAACATCCCAGAGTGAACCCAAGAAACCCCTCTCCAAACCCAACATCTCCAAAAACGACTACAGTGTGATATCCCAACTCCAGTGTAACTGAGGAGAAATGAGAAGAGAACTTCATATTTACTGCTTTCAATTATCATAACAAAAATGATCAGGGAAGGGATTATGTTAAACTCTTCATGGAAAATTTCTTGTTTTATTTTTTTTTTCTTTCCTGACTTAGTCGAGAAAGATTTTCATCTATTTATTTGCAGGAGTGAGTTTATGGGGCTATGTGTGTGAATATTTTTGTTACTCAGCACAAACTTATAACAATTTTGTGACATGACAACTTTTCCTATCATCATTTCTCTATTTAGATTTAAATTCTTGGCTGGCTGTGTCATGTTTGGTGAACCACAGCTAATAGTTTGGGATACATTCACCTTGATGCCAAGTAAGGGGCACAGTCAAGGTGAAGATGAATCTGGCCTGACCCTGAAGTTACTGTGCATGAGAAAAAGTTACTGTGCAAAAGCAGCTTTTGGAACTGCTGCTTCTGGGAAAATTACTAACTTCAAAGAAAGACAGATTTCAAGGTTTACAGCAGGGCTGAAACACTCATTCCTAGATGATAAAGCTCTAAATAGGATACATTTTAACAACCATCCTTGTCCTCAATGCACAGATGACATCAGATAGATCAATTAAGCAGACACCTGCCCAGATCCTAGACATTTTTCCTTGCTAATTGTATATAATTGTCATTGACAAGCTGGTCCTTTTCACATTCTATACAATTAGTTATTCAAAATCAAGAAAATGAACCACTCCACAAAGGAGTGAGCCTCTCCCAAAGGGAAGATGACTGTATCAGTGCAATCTCTGCACTGACATGAGGCAGCAGTCCTCTGCTCACCTGTGACTATGCAGGACTCCTTGCTGCCAACTCCCTCCCTCTGCAGGGCAGTAACCCTCCAGCCAGCCCATATCTGTCAACTTGCCAGGGCTTCTCTGCACTCACCTCCCTCAGCAGAGTTTGGACAGCTATTCCAGAAGTAGCTGGGGACTGATTCTGAGCTTCATTAACCAGGCTTGATTCTTTCATAAAATATTTTAATTATTAGTTGTCTCAATTAATTTAAATCAAAAGTTTTCTCAATATGTTTTGAAATTCTCACCCAAACAAGAATTAACAGATGTGCCTCAAAAAAAGAGATCAGCTTTTCTTCGGAAAACCTTTCTTAGAGCTGCCTTCATGGCTTGATTTCTCAGGCTGTAGATCATTGGGTTGAGTGTTGGGGGCACAACTGTGTACATAATAGCAGGTAAAATGTCCAGTGCACTGGGAGAGTCAGAAGGTGGCTTGAGATACTCAAAGGCGCTGGTTAAAATAAACAATATGACAACAGAGAGGTGGGGAAGGCAAGTGGAAAAGGCCTTCGCTCTACCCTCAGCAGATGGCATCCTCAGCACAGTAGAGAATATCTGTGTGTAGGACACTCCAATAAAAATGACAAAAAGAAACGCCATAAAAGACAGGAAGCCAGTGACCCCAACTTCGCTTATGTACTCATTCGAACAAGAGAGTTTCAGGAGCTGAGGGATGTCACAGAAGAACTGGTGAATGATATGGGGACCACAGAAGTGGATGGAGAAAGTGGCAGCTGTGTGCATGGCTCCAGAAATGACACCAAATGTCCAGACACCTAGGACTCCGTGAACACAGGTGCTGACATCCATGATGATTTCGTAGCGCAGTGGAAGACAGATGGCCACGTAGCGATCATAAGACATCACCGTGAGCATAGATATCTCAGCAGCAGCACAGAGAGTGAAAGCAAAACACTGCACTATGCATTCCCCAAAGGAAATGTAACCACTATGCATGAAAGAATTGTAAATGGACCTTGGAACAGTCACACAAATGTAGCATAGGTCCAGGAAGGAGAGATGTTTCAGGAAGAAATACATGGGTGAGTGGAGACTACTGTCCATGGAAATTGCAGTGATAATGAGGATATTGCCAGTTAATGCCACCATGTATAAGACTAAGAACAGAGAAGCATGGATGAGTTCTAGCTCAGGTTTATCAGAAAATCCCATCAGAAAAAAAACACTAATAGTTAAATTGGCCATAGTCCTTCTTAGTTTTCCAGTGATGTTGGCTGTGAAAAAAAATGGAACCATTGGAAACAAAATTTCTGTACTTAACTACCTAACCTATTTTAGACTAAAGGAAGGTAGGCACGATTTCGCTTGATGAAGCAACCAGTTTAACACCAATTTGAAAAAGTTCTCTATACTAATAATGTTGTGGAAGCATTTTAAGTGACTGACTTGATTATGGAACAATGGATAAAGAGGATTATAAATTTTCATATTGCCAATTGCAATTAAAGGAAAGATGTAAAATACATAAGCAATACATTTAATACAATATATTTAATATATAATCTTGTTAACAGGACTAGAAAGAGCATTGAATTTTGATTCATATTAAAAGTCATATATAGTTCAAGTTCATATACTCACTTTTATAAATGTTTCATAGATACCTCTTCTTTTTCATTAATCATTCTAGCATTGATATACTGATTTATTATTGTATATATATATATATATATATATATATATATATATATATAATATTTGGGGCCTCCCTGGTGATGCAAGGGTTTAAGCACAGCACTATGAGGCTATCTGCAGCCACTGCACCATGAGTTCAATTCCGGGCAGGCCAGGGACTACTCAAATGGCACAGCTGTCTCACCCGCTGCTCCCCTCAGCAATGCATTTCAGCAGATTTGCCTGTTCTGTTCCCCACTCTGTCCCTGGTGAATCCTCTCACCTCCCATATCTCTGGCCCGTACACCAGTTCTTGTATGCATAAATAAAATCTAAATGTGTGTCTTATGTAATTAAGCATTTATTTTCTTAATAAATTATTGTAATTTATTGTAATTTCATAATTATTAAGTAATTACAAAACATCAAATTGAGCATAGCTATGGAGTAATTGTGATATATAAACTATTTTCATTTGCATGAAATATAAAAATTAATCTGAAAAATACCCATTTTTCCAATGAAATGGAAAGGAATAGACCCCCCCATTGTGTTTTTATAAGAAAAAGCATAACTAATATACACCTGAAAAAATAATTTATGTAATTTTTGGTTAAATAAATTTGAAACCACTCAACAAATAAGTATCATATAATTACATATAGTGAAAATGCAAAAAGAAAATTATCAGAGGAAAACCATCTCATAGTCACATATATCTGAAGAGGTTGAATCTGATCCTTAAATCATAGACAGTCTTGTAAATCAATGCTACTGCAATAAAATTCATACAATTATAAAATAGCATGGAATAATTTCATGGAAAAAAGGAAAATGGTTAAAATATGCCAGCAGTATGGTCAAATGTGTGTATACTCTCTAAAAAAAAAAAAGCAAATATTTAGGAAAAATATTTAGTAAAAATCTTGAAGCACTCAAAGCACTCTTAGGCCATGTAACTTTATATCCAGGTATCAACTTAATAATTCATTTGAATAATTAGTATAAAGAAAATGTCCATTTAAAATTAGGGCAGTAGTAAAAGTATTGACAAATCATAAAATTAGAACTGAATAATCATTTTCATGATAATACTTCAGGCAAACTTGAAAATTATAAAGTGTTTGTTTTTTGAAATGGGATTTCATAACTATTTTGATTAAGAAATAAGACATATTAAAAGGTAAAACAAACAGAATCATTCTGTCATACATTCATGCTGAAGTACTTCTATGATGGTTACAATATCCTCCTCAGATTTCTATTTCCCAGTTAAACAATCAGAGCTCATCCCATAGTATTTCATATTTAACAAGTTAAATGACAATGGCTGGTTTTCTCACTCACGCCAAACCAGTGTTTTATGGCCTTTCCATTACCTGTATGATCTAGCTTTTTAGACCCTCAGGAAACTCACCAGAGCATATTCAGGTGTATCTTCCCTCAACAGGAGAAGCTGTCAGTGTGAGCAGCTGACACTTAGCTCAAAGTCCTGAGCTCTGAAATCAGTCACATTCAGAAAAATGAGAAATATGGAGAAAAGCTAAGTCCATTTCAATCCTTTGTTTGGCCCCTAGTGATTAAACAATAATATCTCTTGGCACAAGCAGAGTTTGTGGCAGCTCTGGGTATTTGGCATTGCTGGCCAATACCTTGGGACCAAATCTTGAAATTATATTGATTGTTCCTGCAGATTATTTTTCTGCTGAGTTGTTAAATGATTATACCTAGTTTCCTGGAAGTTCAGCTTATTTGTGTTTATCGGATCAAATTATTGAAAAATATTATACTTTGGTGTTAGAATCAAGAATATCCAAAAAAGACAACTTACTTCTATTAATTGAATTAGCAAGTCATTTGGTTACTTTTTAAATAATGTTTAGTGTTAAATAAATATCCTTATTAGCTGAAAATGTGTTAATACCACAAATGAATCAAAAAAATATCCTCTAATTTATACTGCTAAACGTTAATCTAATTTCTCTTCAAGTGGGGATTTTACAATTAGCCATTTTTTTTTATAGAGGCATGTTTTATTTATTTATTTGTTTGTTTGTTTTGTTTATACATGCACTGGGTACAGTCAGAAGCGTGGGAGGGTGAGAGAATTCACCAGAGCCAGAGCGGGGAGCAGAGCAGGCAGAAGGACCGAAGTACACTGCTGAGGGGAGCAGTGGGCGGCAGGAGAGGTCTGCGTGCCATGTGGGACCCTCCTCCTGTGGCCGGGGGAGCAGCCAGGGATCGAACCGGCGCCACAGAGGCTGCGGGCAGCATCGCAACCCAGCGCTCAACCGCTGCGCCACCGGGGAGGCCCTACAATTAGCCATTTTTATAAAAACCTGAGTGTGTGGTCAATGGTTTGTATAGCATAACATTTTATTTTTTATGTAAATAATGTCACTGTTCATGACCAATCTCAACTGAATAGTTAATGATTATGCATTCCCAGGTTATCCAAGCCATCATTTCACAAATGAGTTTTTACAGTACAAAAAACATTATGAGGGGCCTCCCCAGAGGCGCAGCGGTTGAGCACTGGGTTGCAAAACTGCCCGCAGCCTCTGCAGCACCGGTTCGGGAATCGGTTCGATCCCCGGCTGCTCCCCGGCCACCGGAGGAAGGTCCCACAAGGCGCGCAGAACTCTACTGCCGCTCGCTGCTCCCTTCAGCAGTGTACTTTGGTCCTTCTGCCTGTTCTGTTCCCTGCTCTGGCTCTGGTGAATTCTCTCACCCTCCCGCGCTTCTGACTGTATCCAGTGCTTGCCTAAATAAATAATAAATAAATAAATAAATCTTAAAAAAAAAAAAACATTATGAAATAGTCAGATGGTTAAGTAAATCATCATTTGAACAGAATATTCCAACTAATTGTAAAAGCATTTCGCATTTATGTTCTAAGAATAGCACAAAACGGTTCCTTTCAGTCATCCCTTCTGTACATGTATCAGAGTTCCTGAATTTGGAGAATAAATATTTTCTATTTATTAATGAGAAAAAGTCTATAAGTTTCTGATCTCTTGGTCCAACAAAAATATGTCTTTTAATATATCAGACTTTAAAAGTGTGTATATTTGCAAGCTGTGAGTTCAATGAAATATTAAAAATGACAAATAGTGAAAAATGTATCTTTCAAAAATTAAATGACTCTAGAAAATCATATAGGTAGCTTCACATATCTGCAGGATTGTTATTTATTAACAAGACTAGATCTGTCCTTTCACATATTATGAAAAAATAGTGAAATAATAATAGCAGAGAAGATATAGCTCAATGAGGAAGATGTTAAAATGCTTTCGCCTTTAGGTAGTGAATGTGGTGTCCTAGAGATGCACTAAGGTCCTATAACTGTGACAGCTACATAGAAGTGGAGAGACATATTTTTAATTTGGTAGGATGTTGGCAACCATGATCTCTAGAATATTTTCTAGCTCTAAAATTCATTGAGTTTATAGTAATGTCTAAGTTATGAACAGAAGAATAACAAAATCTAAGTTAATTCTGCATTATGTACACAAAGATTTTCCAAAATATGCATGTGCTCTTTAAAAACTGAAAATGGGAACAAGCCCTTTTGATTTGGTGTCCCTAAAAAAACACAAATACATATTTGATGTTGAAGTTGATAATAATCTTATTATGGAAACAACCTAAGTGCCCAAATACAGATGAGTTTTTCAGGAAGATGTAGTATATATACAAAATGGAATACCACTCAGTTACTAAAAATGGTAAACTCTTGCTAT